CGCCCTGGGCCCTCGGCCCGGCCCCCTCTCGCCGCGCTCGCTGCAGTAGCTGCCCCGAGTCGTATTTCCACATTCCTGAACCCAGCCGAGTCCTTACCTGTTGAGCTGCGATCTCCTTTAGACAGAATCTGTCTCGGCCTCGCTCGAAGTGGGGGGTGGAGGGGCGAGGTGACCGTGAGGGGGTGCGGTGCGCCGCGCTCCCGGGCCCCGCCGCGCCTTTCGCCCCTACTGTGCGCAGCCAGCCGCGGGGAGGCAGGCGGGTCCCGGCCGGAGCACAGGCGGCGGGCTGCCCGGCGGGAGGCGGAGACGCGGCTTCCCAGGCGGAGAGGTGAAGACGCCACGGGAGAATCGTCTCGTCTACCGCCCATCGCCCGTCCTTCTGTCGCCCCCCTCCGCCGTTTTATAGGCGGAGAAACTGAGGCCGGTGGCTGCAGGGGCAGGGCTGGAAGGCCCCGACCTCGCCTCAGCTCTGCAGGCCTGGGCCGGCGTGCCTGCGGCCGCTGGTGGCTCTGTTTGTGGTGGGTCTGGGTGTCCGCTGTGTCCCTGGGTGTTTGTTTATGGGCGGTGAGGGTGCCGGCACCCGAGTCCGATAGGGGGTGGGGGTTGGGAGGGAGGCCCGGTTTGGGGATCCCCAGCAGCCCCCGCAGTTCCTCTCTCTGTGCTGCCCGGTTCTCAGCTCTAAGGCCTCGTCCGCTCCTGGCGATCCTAGATTAAGCTCCCCTTTTAAGGATCAGGAAACTGAGCAAGGGAGGCCGAGTCGCTTGTCCCCAAGGGTCAGTGGCAGAGCTCAGACTGGCTCTGGCCTCCACCACTGACCACTACTCCTAGCACCCTGACACCAGCTCCTAAATGGGAGCCACCCCAAAGAACATCCACCCCCAGCTTGTGGGCTCTAGGACCCTCACTCCCCACCCCGGGCAGCGGAAGGAGATCCCGATGCCACCGTCTTGGGCTCCCAGGGCTGGCTGCAGGGCTCTGAGACCTCCGGGTCCAGCTACCGACTGACGGTGGCTTCCCTCTCCCCACTTTCCTGGGCCTCCCTTTGCCCTCTGTGAGCGAGACTTCAGCTCTGGCCATCCTGAACACGATGGTGGCCGGTGTCTGAGTAGAGAGAGACCAGCCTGTGTGCCCAGGCACTGTGCCCGCCTCTCTGGGAGTGGGCAAGAGAGCCAGACTCTGCCTTCTGCACCACCCCCCTCCGGAGCCCTGGAGTGGGAAGCTTCTCCCTCTGCTGTGCCCCCTGAAACACGCGCTCTCCCACTCCTGGGGGGAGAGGAGAAAATCTAGTGTTCCCACACCCCTGCGGAACCACATCCAGGAAAGCCAGGGAGCCGCCCTGGGATCTGCTAAGGGGAGGGGCTCTGCCTCTGCCACTGGGGGCTTGCTTTCTTTGCAAGCCACCTTGGCTGCACAAAGCCGAGAGGAGGCGGGAGCTGGGCCCAGATGTGACCTGAGGGGCTAATGACTTGGGAGCCCAGTGCATTCAGGGTGAGGTTTTGGCTCC